GTGTTGTGTGTGTGTGTGTGTGTGTGTGTGTGTTGTGTGGTGTGTGTGTGTGTGTGTGTGTGTTGTGTGTGTTTTAGGTGTAAGAGTCAGGGTTCTGATGGGAGTGTTAGGAACGGAGCTTGCATCCCGTCGGGCGTTTCGATGTGACGGCGAGACGGGACTGTTATTAAGGAACGGCAGCGACGAAGAGCACTGCAGCAAAGAGAGTGAGCACCTGTCTGTCTTTGAAACACCTGTCTCACCTGTCGCTTTTCTCTGTGGTTCTGATTGGGTTCTGTGTGTTTTCTAGATCAGGGTGTGCTGCCTCCCGGTCAGCCCCAGCTGATATTTCCACTTCCTCCTGCGACCCTCGGAACAACAACAACAACAGTAACTGCAGTAGGTCCTCACTTTGATTTAAAAAAAACAAGGGTCCCCCCACTATGGCACCTAAAAGGATTATTCAATTTGTTTGTGTTTAACTACTTTACATTCTATATATTATTAATGATTAGCTAGTGAATTGAAAAAACAAATGTTAGTATTGTTCTTGGATCTGCAATAACTGCAGTAGGCCTCCACTGATTTAAAAAAAATATAAATCAAGGGCCCCACTATGGCACCAAACAGGATCATCAATTGTTGGTTTAACTGCTACACTATATATATAATGATAGCTTTTAGTGAATGATAATACAAATTAGGTATTTGTTCTTGGGATTTCGCATAATAACTGCACTTGACTACGAACATAAAAAAAATACTTTTTTGATACATTACACGTGTAATACAGTACACAATGATTATAATAAACTATTACAATGACCAGAAACATGTTTGTCTGTGGGTCTATTTATGCTTTAAGTAGTTATAATGTTCCCAATAGATCGTGAGACCTGTCTATAAATTCATCAACATGTGTGCACAATTCTATGAATGCACCAACTTCCTGTTTCCCCCTCCAGCGCGGATGCGGAGAGCCATTTCCCTGCGAGGCTTTGCATGAAACCTCCCGTACAACCAAACCATCTTCCCCAACTTCCTGGGGCCCACCTTCTCCAGAAGGGAAGCTCTGTTCCTGGGAGTCGTGCCCCCGCCCTCAGACCGGATGTCAGCCCCTTCCTCATTCTACGCCTGCACGCTGCTGGTGCCAAGTGTGACCCGGTGCTGCAGAGGTCCCACCATGCAGGTAAACTGCTTTAAAATAACCAATTATCTTCATTAAACCACCATTGACCGGTTACCTCTTGCAGAGGCTCACAGTGTGTGTTTATTTATTTAGATTTTATAGTAGCTGGATATCATTGATTGGTTGAAGACATATTTAATTTTATGGATCCATTTTAAAATATGTTTTATTATCCAGTTTGATTGTATTTAGCTGTGTTTATTATAGT